GTTCATGTACTATTTTGATAATTTTGAGAATGTGATTGATTGGTGTCTTGTGTGGTATTCTTAAAGGGTTACGCACTGCTCAATGTCGGTCAACGACCCATAATGCAAGGAGTTGTCAAGAGAATTTGAACCCACCAGCACGTGTAAGAATCTCATATGACATATAATCCTTGAACCTTTACATGATATTCTGGTGTTTGAACCCTTAACTTTGTTTTCCTTATGTAGAAATCAAGAAATGGGAACCTTCACAGGAACTTGGTGGTGAATGGAGAAGTTAGACAGGCTCTAGGGGTTGATTGTATCTATGAGAATCTTGCAACTGGATCGAGTGATGGAGCTGGTACTTCTGCAGAGGGAGTTGGAACCCAACCAACTCAGATTGATACTACAGGAGCTCCTTCAACTCAACCTGAGTCTCAACCACAACATATGGCTTGAAGACGTGTGTGTGGACTGTTTCTTTGTTATGTCTTTAGCTTTTGTCTATGCTAGAACAATATGTTAATAGGCTGGAGGTTTGCAATTTTAGATTGTAAGGTGATTCCGTTTTGGTTCACCACATTTTGCATTTTGTACAAGATCAATTCATCTTGTCCCAAACACTACGCAAGTATCTAGCGTTGTGGAACAATTTCAATCGAGCTTGTAAGGTGATTCCAGCTGGTTCACCATATTTTGCATATTGTACATGCTCACTACATTTTGTCCCAAATAGTGCAGATGTAATGTTGTCAACTTCTTTTGAAACGATTTAGCTTTGGTACAAGGTGTCTATATTACTTGTTATCTTAGTGGCCAGATCGTGCGAAATAGTACTGAAAGTGAAGTTTACTTGTTTTCCACATATCACGATACTGCTCAAACTAGAATGGAATTGAACATTACATAAGTGTTTGCTTACATTTTGCTACACCTCTCAAACTCCCTGGAATCTACAGAATGCAGCGTAAACTATAACACCAATTAGACAGTATATCAGCCTTGTTATCTTGGTGTCAAAGCTAGAGATAATGTTGCTCATTCTGCTCAGCTCAGAAACCAACCTAGCTTGACTTTCTCTAGTTCTAATCAACTCTTCTAACAGCTTGTTGTTGCTTGCTTCCACTTCCATAAGTTTTGCCTTAAGACCAACTGTCTCATCGTCATGTGTAGACCACACTGATTCATTCCTTCTTATATACTTGTCCACCCATAGGAAGAACCGACAATCGTTCGTCTACAAATGAAAATAAAGCTATTACTAAGATGAATATCATAGGTAAACAATTTACGTTACAAACAAAGACACTTACCTTCCAATTTGGACAACAATAAAACTGCCTTCCTGGATTCCTACTAGTACCAGACTTGTTCACGATGCAGGGTCTTTTACAATGGCACAGCGGCCGACAAAGTCATTTGTGTTGGCTGAAACATCCCTCCAATGCAGACATTATTCTTCTTACTGACAAGAAACATCCCATTCGTGTATCAAACTGGGGTTTTAGCACAACCCTTTCCTAATTCCAACCAGTTGACGATGGAAAGAGGCAGACATGGGCAGGGTTAATAGAAGAATAGAAGAACTTACCCTCGGGATTTGAAGACAAAGGGTTCCTCAATCGAACTAGTCTTCTTCGCTGACCAGTAGGGTTCCTCAATCTAACCAGTCTTCTTCGCTGACATGGAATCTTCCTCAATCGAACAAGCTGTGAAGGTCGCGACGGCAGGAAGCAACGGCGGTGAAGGTCGCGACGATGGTGGCGGCGACCTTTCCTCACTTCGTCTCTATCGTATCTCGTTAGCCAGCCCTAGGTTTTTTGGGGAACATTCAAATGCTCAAGGGTGAAAAAGGGGTAAGAAAGTTAATAAATTTATTAGTTAATTGAAATCCTACGTGGAATCCTACGAGGCGACTGACGTGTCCGGCACCGTTACAATTAAACTCACGATAACGGGGTTCTAGCCATTTAATTACGGGAAACAGTAATTATGGATATTAATTTGTATATTGATAGTTGAGGATATAAATCCCCGATCCATAATAGTTATGGATATTATATTGTATTTGCCCTATTATTATTTATAAGCTGCCGATTCTCTAACAATTTTTTAGCGGTCAAATACCAATTGGAGTACTAAAGTGCGAGTCGTTCATATTACCGGGTCAAACTCCGACTCGGTTCTCACAACATTGAGAAATTGCCTAAAATCTCTCTCATATTTTCATTGTTTTACACAGGGCTGGCAATTTGGTCCAGGACTGTTTGGTTTTACCCGAAACCGGACCGTATAACCCGGACCATGACCGGACTGGGACCGGATAGCAAACAATCCAATCTCATATTCGGGCTTAGATTTGAGATAATAAAAAAACCCGGATAAGAGACCCCAACACTCAAATCCCCACAAGTTCAATCTAAAATCAAAATTCAAATTGGGACCGGACCGGGTCAAGACCGGACCGGATCAAGACCGGAGTGTATCTAATCCAATCTATGGTCCTTATATTCCCGAAAAGACCAGACTTGGACCAGATCAATTTGGTCCAATTTAACCGGACCGTATAGCCACCCCTAGTTTTACAGAAGGCGGCTGCTGAACCACCATCATAAGTATAGGTGTCAATCGGGCGGGTTCGGTCGGGTTCGGGCTGGGTTCAATCGGGTTTGGGTTCAAATGGGTTGCGGGTTAATTGGGTTGCGGGTTCATCGGGTTCGGGTTCATCAGGTTTGGGTTCAAACAGGTTGCGGGTTCATCGGGTTTTGGGTCGGGCGGGTTGCGGTCGGATCGGGTTTTGGGTTGTTCGGGCCAGCGCATCGAGAAACTTACTCATTACTCGTTACCAACTTACACATTTTATTACACTAATTTAAAATATTTTTCTCACATCACACCTGAGAAAGATGAAAGGAGAGGAGCATCTACAACCAGCGTTGTCGTCGTCGGTCTGGTTTGAGAAAGGAAAACAAAAAGAAGCAAGATGTGATTTTGGAGCGGCCACTTTGGGTCTCTGCTCCCTAGACTAAGAATAGATTTGATTAAAAAGAAGGGTGAAGGTTGAATTCAAATAATAAGGGGGAAGGAAGACCCAGAGAGGGGTTGTGAAAATTTTTCATTTGGGCGGACAATTGAAAATGAAAATTGATGGTTGGGCGGGCCTTTGAAATTTTTAAGGAGCCAAATAATTGAGGTAGATAGCTGAGCGCCACAGATTTAAGGAGCCAAAAAAATTAGTTAAATTAATTTTAACTTTGTGGCGTTGGAAACCGAATCAAGTCATGAAATTTGTGTCGGTCATAGGTTGAACCGACACAAATCTAAAAAAATTAGTGTCATTTAATTAAACGACTCCAATCACCGACACGAATTCTTATATTTGTGTCGGTTAAATGAACTGACACAAAGCAACCGACGCAAAACCATATTTTTCTTGTAGTGCTCGTGTGTGTGTATATATATATATATACTTAATTTTTTTGAAAAAAACTAGTCAAAATGTGAAATCAATTTGTATGACTTGCAAACTAGTTATGCAATTAATCATAATTGGTAAAGTACACTAGCTAATAGTAATGGTGATATCAATATTTGCAACCAAAAGACACCATTAATTGTTTATTTGATATTTTAGTATTAATTCAGTAGTAATTGGATTAAAGTATCTCGTTTAGTATAACCATGCAAATCTGGTATTTGGCGTGTGGTATTTGGCAAAAGCGAAGTGATAAAAGGAGTTATTTCGAAATAACTCATTGCGCAAATAACTTCAGTAAACTGTTGTCAAACGAGTTATTTGTAAAAGTGTTCGAATTATCCTAAAAATTGAACCATTAAAGATTAACTATCAAATTTAGTAAAATTATTGTGACTTCAATCATAACTTACTCAATAACATATATCCTATACACTTAGCCTTATCCTCAATCAACAATATTAAGTTAGTATATGTTGTTGATTGTATATCCTAAACCATCAATACATTATACACTATGTTAATAAAAAAACTTAGAACCGTCAAAACCATCAATATCTTATACCCTAACCATATACGCCCTAAACCATCTGTACCTTATACCCTATACCCTAACCATAAACTTTATACCCTAAACAACGAACCGTCAAAGATTACTTATCAAGTTTAGTATAATTGTTGTAACTAATGGTTAATTTATTTATTATCTCATAAACAATTACATATATATATATATATATATTAGCCTTCAAAGCATATAAGAATAAATTTAACTAGTCATACCCTCCATATAAAAGTTAAAGATTCATATTTCAAAGGCTAAAATTTTGAAAAATAAAAAAATTGAAAACACCAAATTTGTTTCCTTCTTTCTTTTCACAAAAAAAAAATAATACTAAAATTTCCTCTTTCTTTCTCCTTCCATAAATTAGAAACACTCAATTTTCTCTCTTCTTTCTCTTCTATAAAATTGAAAGAACCAAATTTCCCTCTTCCTTCCTTCCTTCTACAAAATGTTGAAAACTCAAAATTTCCCTCCTTATTTCTCTTTCATAATCAAAAAAATCAAACTTTCCCGCTTCTTTCTCTTCCCACCAAGGTTGTCAACCCGCGGGTTGACCCGGATCCAGTTGTGCTAGTGGGTCAAGGGTTAATGGGTCACCCGGTTTAGCCCGGAGATATGGAAAGCGTCATTATATTGTACTTATCCTAATAAATTATATCAAATCTCATCTAACATATGAGTTATAACATATAATATTACACCAAAATAACATTTCGTACTTAGATTCAACATATAGTGAAAATTCACACACACTTATATAGCATTAATATTCAAATGTTCAACTTAGGATTCCAAATATTGAGTTAGGCGAAAAGAAAAATCGAAAAATAGGCGCATTTCGCAAATCAAAACCACCAAAATTCCCACTTGTTTCTTTTCTAAAAAATTCACAAGTACCAAATTTCCCTCTTCTTTCTCTTCCCAAAAAGTTGAATACACCAAAATTCCCCTCTTCTTTTTAAAATATCAAATTACCAAATACATTACTTTACTTTATTTATATTTAATTGATAATTTTATTGAATAGTTAAATTAACCAAATTTTTATTTATATATTATATTAATATTGTCCATGATCTCAATTATTAATTCCATTATTAATATTGACATTATGTTGATTTTATATTTTATATTTACTTTTTTAATTTTGTTAAGGAACTTAGTGTTCAAGTGACCTTTATGTTTCAATTTTTGTAATTTTCTTAAAATACATAATATCCAGTGAGTTTCATATTTTTTAAATTCCCTATACGAAATGAAAAAATAATTTTACTTAAGTTTACAATAAAAAACTTTATTTTGAAAAAATATGTATTGTGTATTATAATAATTATTCAAGTTGATTAGATGAAGTTCGGGTTGAGTCGGTCGGGTTACAGGTTAGTCGGGTTCGGGTCAATCGGGTTCGGGTTAATCGGGTTCCAGGCCAGTCGAGTTGCGGGTCAATCAGGTTCGGGTTAATCGGGTTGCGGGTCAGTCGGGTTGCGGGTTAGTTGGGTTGCAGGTCAATCGGGTTGCGGGTCGGGCGGGTTACGGACTGTTGACTTTTAATCAATTCAGGTTGCAGGTCGGGTTGATCGAGCTGATTAATCGGGTCGGGCTATGTTTTGACATAAGAAGGAAAGATGACCCAACAGTCTGTGATCAAACTAACAGTTAGAGACAACCTAACACAGAACAAATAAACAAGAGACTGGAGACCCTTTCAACTCTGACTAATGATCAAGGCACGGAATCTGTATACAACATTATGAGCCTTTTACATTATTTCTTCCTCCCTACTACCATAACGAACGAAGGCAACTCAATTGCAAGTATTTCTTCCCTCTGTTGTTTTTAGCAATGACAAGGATACAGCTCTTCCTTATAATCTTTCTTCTACTCTTTGGCAAGCATTTCGAGCAGTGAACCAATTCAGGGTATAAAAGAGAAGCCTGTTTCTATTACTATACTGACCTAGCATAACATTTTCTACTGTAAGAAAGGTTATCCTAGGATGGCAGTAACTCAACTTCAAATCCAAAAGAACAACACATTTATCCTACCATTTATTACAAAATCCTTGGCAATCCATGTCTCACTGCCACCAGAGTTCAGAAACCACATCTCAGCGCTTTTTGTTGTGGATTGATGATTCTAGTGAGTAATCATCGCTTGAAGAAGGGTACAATCAGGTACTTTACAAGCATGAACTGATGTAACGAAGAACAGAGAACAAGGTCGAGCTTGTAAACTAAGATTGACCAATAACATTCATGTGCCGTCCTGCAACAAGTACAAAAACAAAAAATAGCTGGTGAAAACACAGTTTCAATTATTTGAGTCTGTTTCCTGTAAGATACAATGATACGTACCCATCAAGCAAACTCGGTGCTATATTGGAGATTGAATAGCATGTTCCTACGATTCTCTCCACCCAGCCTAATGTTGAACTGTGTAGCCAAAGATCCCACCTTTTTATCGTTTTCATAGTCCATTTCTCGTACACAACGTCTTCTGATCTTCTTTAGGATTTCCTTCGTGGGGACAAATCCTTCAGATACCTGTGCATCCAAAAAGGTTTGACGCAGTTAATAGTTTAATCTTCCAAATGCTACCAAAAAGAGAATAAACACACTACCTTACTTACCATCTGATCAATAGTGATTAGAGCAGCTTTTACATCTCGGTTGATGAGATGAGCATCGATGATCAATGAATACGACATTACATTGGGCTTAATACCCAAGCCTATCATGTGTTCAAACACCTTTGAAGCTTCATCTGTCTGTTAACCCATGGAAGCTGAACCATCAGCATGTGAAGGCAAGATGCTTGCAGGCAGGATAATACATAGTCAAGCTAATTCTATCAACATGCAGGAGAAGAATGGGAAAAAACAAAGATTCTATCAATAAAGTTTACCTTCTTCGACCTTCCAAATGCAAACATCAGTGCATTAAATGAGTGGATATCAGGGGCCAAACCAAAAGAAGGCCCAATCGCCTCAAATGTCTGGTACGCACGGTTAAGGTCCCAAACATTTGCACACCCCAATATTACACAGTTAAGAGCAGCAACGGATTTGTATGGTGGTTGAGCTTTGCTCAAATTCTCCAGTTGATAGTACACCTGGCGGCAAAAGTTTAAAGAAGCACATTTAAGACACCAAGTGATAATAAATTTTGTGGGAATCATGAAAATTAAACTTGAATCATGGGACATATTAGATCCATATTTTATCATGAAAGAAAGAATTAACTTTGGAACTGTTATAAATACTAAATGCTGACTTCCAAGTGAAAAAATTACCAAGTCAAGAGTCTCGAAACCATTCTTGGAGCAAGCCAAAACTAATGGTCGCAAGGAAGTAAAGGGGGAGAACAGCTCTTCTTGTATTTCTTGGTCAGCCTTCCCATAAGCAGCCTCAAATTCATTCAGAGTAGCAAAAGCCTTTTGTAGACTCCCCAAAGATGCATGTGCAGTTATCTTTCCAATATATGACTCAGGGTTAGGAGCTTTGTTACCACGTAATGAGCGGCGAAGAACTGCCCATGATGCATCTAGGAGAGTAGGACTGTGTGTCCTGCCAGCAGTGGCAAGTGCTGACACAATCAGTCCTTCATCTACAGAAAGAAGTACAGCAGGACGAGCAATCTCCCCTCTGGCTATCCATTTGGCCATGAACTCCAGAGCATAGAATGCAAGGTTACTGTTATCCCCTTCCATTGCAGCTTCAGCAATGTTGTAGCACATGTTCCAAGTTGGGGAGAGTGCTTTGTTCTGATCCGTTGTCTGACACAAGAAGTGTATGCAATGATTTCACTGTAAAATCAAAGGGTATAGAGTACATCTAAAGACAAAGGAAGTAGTTCAATTATTGGCCCCTTTGTAAGTTAGTACCTTGCATTTCTCAATAATAGATGCCAATACATCGAGTCTCCGCTTGCGGATACAAGTCTGCACACAGTTATTAAATACTCCCATGGATAACATGCCACCCATTTTCAACGTCTTCTCGATATACTTCAAGGCAGAGTCAATTTGATCTGTCTGGAACAGCATGCTAATGACCAAGTCATATGACTCATCATCTGGCTGAGATTCTTTCCCTGTGACCTCCATCCTGAAACCGTGAACATGTCATGAGTTAAAAGGATAACCTTTATAAGGCTGGCAACATTATATTTATATATCTACAACAAATACCAAGAGCGATCCAGCTTTGCATTTCTAAGCCATAATCATATCAATTGGATGCGTACATACAATGGCTCACTTCTCCATCATGCACCCTGGTAAAGTCATTGCTTTATTTACAGAAAGTTGGAATAATAACTGGTGCCTTTTTGCTTACGGAAAATACTCAATGTAGCTTTACAATCATGGGACTAAGGTTTGTGCGATAGATTCAGCAAAGTTTTAGAGGATCATGCCCTAGAAGCAGCGCTGGCTGCGCGGATGACCTAATAAGCACCAGCATCAAGAAATGCAATCAGACAGTAACTGAAACTGACCTTCGTTATGGAACCAGAACATTACTCAGATTAGGGGTTGGGAATCCGACAAACGATCTCATACCAAGTTAACTTGGCCAGTTTATACAGACTTGAAAGGCAACTTCATCAACTCCAAGAACCAATCTTGTTAATTTTATATATATATGGCACACAGGACGAACACGCAAGAAGTGGAGATCATCCATTTCCCAAATTTATATTCCAACAACTACACCTACAGACTATCCCATGTTTAAAATAAGAACTTAGTATGTCGCCAAAGAAAGCTCTGTTCAAATGAACAGAACTACATACCAGTTGAAGTAATTCATCGGGACTCGGAAAAAAGTAAGCACATAAAATTGCTAAAGACAGTCTCCCAGACATACCGTTGCAACAACTTCTCTGCAGCCTCCGTCTCTCTGGCCTGGTTCATAGCTTTCAGCACCAAATTGAAAGAAGCCGTATTTGGCGCGAGATCGAAATCTCCCATCTGCGCAACCAAATCAAGCAAATCGCCAGCAGTAGCATCCATCATCAGATTGGCCCTCAAGTAGTGGTTGTACAAATCTACATCCGGCTTGTTGGGGCTGCCGTTTTTATCCAAAGACCGCACCCAGAACTCGAACAGCTCCTTCATATCCGACCACCGCTGCGACGTCATCCAATCGGCGAACAAGTTCAGCAGCGAGCCCACGTCGTAGCTCTGATACATCGCCTGCATACGGGCGACGGGAGCTTGCTGGAAAGGGCTGAACGACTGAGGCAGCGCCACGCCGTGGCTCTGGACGGGCCTCCGCCAATTCTCTTGGTACATAGGGCTGCCGGAGGCCGGGTTCGGAGGGAGTGGAGTTGGGGGAACATTTTCGGGTTCGGCTGCCAGCTGCGGTTCTTGGGAAAGGAAGGTGAAGGTGGAAATGGACTTGATCGAATTAAGAGTTCGGGTCAGGGGCCTCGTCCTCGCCAGGATCGCCATTGAAGAGATGAGCTCACTCGGTGTACTCCGATTCTCTGGAAATCTGATTTTAGGGTTTATGAGAGGGGAGAGTCAGCTGAAGGAAGGGGCCAAGTTGTAGTTGTGGGAAATCATAGTGCATGACAAAGTAATTTTACAGGTGTGCGGGTACTTTGTTCTGAAACTATTGCATTGGAAAAGTGGGCTTTCTTTAGATCTTCGGATAGGGTTTGTTACAGATGGGCTGGATTTGCTAGCCTGGCTTGGGCTTTTAGGCAAACATGCAAGAAGCTAATCGGTAAGCCTAGTTAAGTAAATTGGCAGGCTGATATTAGGCTGTGGAAAATGTTTGGAACTAACCAAGGATACCATAAGGCTATGGCATGGTGATTGATCATATCCTCTTTTAAACATGAGATTTATAGTTCATTATATCTCTAGTTACTGATGTAATGTTGTTGGTTTGAGACTCTAGTTAAAATATTATTTAACTTGTGTTGAAGGATATTTTTTTAGGAACCTTTGGAACTAGAGATATAAGATATAAGTGATGGAGGATTATGTTAGAATTTAGGAATAGGGAGAAGAAGAAATAAGGGAGGTTTGTGAGAGGGAGATTGTTTTCCAGTGAGAAAAATTGTGTTGAAATGAAATTGATTGTATTTTTTACTTATAAACTAACAATTACTAAATACGGTTCACACCTCATTGAACAAAATTCAAATAAGTGTGTTCGATGTTTTTAATGATCTACGAAATAAAGCTAAGTTAAATTAATTCTACTCCTATGGAGGTTCAACGAGAGCTCCAGAACTACGACTATGGCTGAATTTGTAGAGGAAAAGATAAAATGATGAAATTTTACATTGTGTTGTCTGGTGTGAATTTGGAAAACCCTTGATAGGTTATCGTCACCTCATATTTATAGCCATCAGAACTAACTGCCTGAAGAAACTTCTTAGCTAACGAGGAGTGATGATTACCCTCTCAACTACTATGATGATGCCCTAATATTGGATGTACCACCCTTGTCAGAATTGACCCCCTCTCCTTAATGGCTCCTCCTTAGCTCGGGTTTTCAAATGAGAAAAACAATTAAGGGATGAAGAACCTCATTACCCCATGTGGGTGGGTATTCGAATCACAAGGGTCAAAATGGAAAAAATAGTTCACCGCTTATGACCACGAGAGTGGCAAAGGTTACCATCTTTGTCACTTGATGTCATCATTCCACCTCATGACAATAGGCGGATACTCCATCTCCAAACCCCACCTAGTCATGCCAAGCTAGATTTTCCATACTTAATCATATTTAACCTCGCCTTATTGCACTAGTAAGAGGGTATATGAGGACCCACCCCCAATCACATTAGGGACCTCTTCACCAAAACCTCCATACTTAGCCACATTTTATCACATGGTTTTGCACTAGGGGTATGTTGATTGCCCCCTGATCATACCATGAGGGGTACTCCAACATTTAGCCAAATATGGTCATATTTCAGACTTAGCTAGATTTACCCCACCTCATCACACTTTAGGGGTATGCTGATTACCCCTCCCATCCTCTCTAACACAGTAGGAGGGGTGCTCAAATTTGTTCATATTTCAACTTGCCTCATGTTTTCAAATTTGTTTTCCGACGAGAAACTTGTGTTGAAATTGAATTGATCGCACCTTGACTTCTTCAACAATGATTAAACAAACACAGTTCACACCTATTTGAACAAAGTTCAAACAAGGGTGTTCGATGTTTCTACAACTCATGAGACAAAGACTACATCAAATTATCCCTAATCTTATAGAGGTTTGGTGAGATCTCCAAAACTACAATTGTGGCTAAAATATGAAAAGGAAAAGAGAAAAGGATAAACTTTGACAAGTGGTGTCGAGTTATGATTTTTGCGAACCCCTGCTCTATATTCTTCATCCCCTGTTTATAGCCATCATAAGTAACTGCCTCATGAAACTATTGAGCTTATGTGGAGTGACGGTTATCCTCTCGACTGCTCTAACAATGCCCTGGCATTGGTTGTGTCACCCTCTTCAGTCTTGAACCCTCTTCTTGATAGCTCCTCCTTAGCTTGGGCTTTCGAATGAGAAAAACGGTTAAGGCATGAAGACCCCCTTGCCCCATGTGGATGTGTATTTGAATCACATGGGTCAAAATGGCAAAAATAATCTACCACTTATGACCACGAGAGCGGAGGAGGTTATTATCTTGCCACTTGATATCATTACCCCACCTCATGACACTAGGGGGGTACTCCATCGCCAAACACGCACCAAATTACACAAAGGTAGGTTCTCCATACTTATTCATATTTCACCCCATGATATTTCACAAGGGTGGTATGTTGATTTCCCCCCTCCCCTCCCTAGTTACACTGTGAAGGTACTTCAACACTTAGCCAAATTTGGCCATATTTCATCTTCTAGGGGGTATACTGCATCATACTTCACATTGTCATCATTCTACAGACTTATCCAAATTTTATCCCACCTCGTCACACTAGTGGTATGTTGATTCCCCTCCCCTCTAATCACATCAGGAAGGGTGCTCCAACACTTAGCCAAATTTTACCTCACCTCGTCACACTAAGGGGTATGTTGATTACACCCCTCCCAATGACACAAGAAGAGGTGCTCCTACACTCAACCAAATTTGAAAATATTTCACATTGCCATCATTCTCCAGACTTAGCCAAATTTTATCATGCATCATCACACTAGAGGGTATGTTGATTACCTCCCTAATAACACAAGGAGGGTGCTCCAAAACTTAGCCAAATTTGGGAATTGATGGTTAAGGGTGACGCATACATGATGGCATAAGTGTCATGGGTCCAAAAATGAAAATCCAATCAATGAGGCTCATCTGAATTGATTTTAATTGTTATAATCAAGTTGACCTTATAGAGCCGTATAATCCCTTCAATTTAACCGATATGGTACAAGTTTAATTTTGGCATAAACAGATATCATTTTCCATTTAGAAACGAGGGAGAGGGGAGAGATTAGCTTTATGAAAATATTTTTTGATTTGCCAATTATTCCTTTTGTTGAAACTACAGAATATAATATAATATTAGACCGATGACTTCTTTAAACTATCCTTGTTCTTCCTAAAGACTAGGAGTTGGGCAATGGGTGGGTTGGGTGGATTTTGACCTCAAATTGTTCCACTCATTTATTAACGAGTTGGTAGAATTAAGACACGATATTCATCGACATTCTTCTTCTGGTTGAGTTGGTTGGGTGAGATTGGGTGTGGGTCAACCCGCAAAAACAATTATACGGCTAGTCATTAGGCAAAGTAACTAACATTTATAATAAATTTTAAGCAAATTAAGAAGAACTAGCATTTTAAAACCGTTTGAGACCGGATACCTTGTAGCCCAACTTCACACCCACCTTATCCCTGCTCTATGTGTCCAAGGCGCCTGACCTGCACACACGCACACGAAGGAGGGCGCACGGGCCTATTAGTCCTCCGAATATCAAGTCAGTTTGAGTTTTAGAGAGAGAATGAGAGAGTCCAACCTGTGTAAATGCTACATACCGCTCCTATTTATACTCACCCAACTCGAGGTCAAGTTCCTCCACATCAGCATCGCATTTAATGCTTCGTACCTTTATTCTTGTCAGGCGCCCCAACCGCCTTGTCAGTCCTCTGACAACTGACAGGTGTATGGGGGTGGGGGACCGTTAACAGCCTGGACTTCTTTGGGATCTTCCGTATCTTGTCTCTATGCGCCCCTCGTCCTATTTAAACTGGGCCCGGCAGGCCCATTCGTGGGCTTCTCCATCTAGGTAACCAAACCTGTCTTTATTGGGCTTCTTAATGCTCTTGCTTGGGCTCCACTCTTTGCAATATCCCCCAACAATTGCACCCCAGTGAGGCTCTCAAGTCTCCAAAACTTGAAGACCTGACTATACTACCTCATCTTACCACTGAAATGAGGTGCCCACTGTTTCTCGTGACAGGCGCCTGGGTTTGACGAGGCGGGGCGTTTCCTCCTCAGCGATTTTCCGTACACGGGCGCCTGGACATTGTGCTCAACTTGTCCATTGCTACATTTGTTTTCTTGTCATGGACGCCTAGTTAGTGCGCTTCATCTGCAATTGCTTTCCCCTGGTTAACTTAGGTGCCTGCTTGTGCGTTACTTTCTGACACCAATTGCTTTTCCCCCCTTTCCTTCTCGTAGGCGCCTCAACTTGGGGTGGCGTGCCCCCTTTCCTTCTTACAGGCGCCTCGATTTGGGGCGGTAAGCTAATTTTCGACGACTCTGAATTTCTTCTCCTGACATAGGCGCCTGGTTAGCACGGGCCCCTTGCCCCCCTCTCGGACATTTTTTTCTAATTCAAATTTTTAATTTTAGAAATTCAAATTTTGAATTTTGAAACATAAATAACCGCCCGAGATCGTGACACATGGCTAACAGGCGTGGATCCCGAGGCATATCCCCCTCCCCTACTGTAACACGTGGCTAACACACCCTCTCTCTCTCTCTCTCTAACTTCTCTCTAGTCGATGTCGTGCCTGCCGCCTACAACTCGCTCCCGCTCGCACCTTCCTTACCATGTCTGCCTCGCAAAACCAACCTGGTGGCTTAGGCGCTGCTCCTAATCGAGGCACCCCGTCGAACCGTGGTAAGCGCCGCTCGCTCCCTTGATTTTATCGCTTTATTTCGCATGGTGAGTTGTTTCTTTGAGACATTGGTGCCGCTGATTTCACATTGCGTTTGTGCGCCCGCTTCGCTTTTTGCTTTAGAGGGGGCGCCTCCATTTGTTGGGACTTCGACGACGTCCGTACCGGGTTTCATGCCAGCGGACGGCTCCTACAAAGTCACTACTTGGGGAAAAAACTTTCCCCTTGGATTACGTGCCATTCGAGAACTCCGTGTTGCCATTCAACATGGCAGGTCCAGACCATCAATCAATCATGAGGGTTGCACGAGTAAGGGAGTTGGTTACAAGTCTGCAACTGTCGTGCGAAGTGGATTGGGGCCTACAAGGAATATTTTCACATTGGGCTACGCTTCCCAATCGACCCCATTTTGGAGGGGATTTTGGCCGTCTATGGTTGCAGTTTGGGGCGCCTATCACCATCCGTTATTCTGGTGGTGATTCTGTTCAAGTTGAAGTGCCGAGTGCACAATTTGAGGCCCACGTTTAATTTTTTCAGATACTTCTTCAATATGGTGTCCCTCGACAACTGCTTATCCCTGCAAAAGTGCACGAAGCTTCCCTACCACTTTGTGGTTAGGTGGCCCAAGCTAGGGAGGAGTTTGTTCAACGGTTTCTTCTTCATGAAGGCATATCGAGACTCCTTCTTCGAGAGTGGGGGCGCCTTCTTAACTGAATGGGAGCTCGGAGACGAGACGAAT